ATTATATAAAATTTTATATAATATTATATATGATATAATTATATGTGAAACATTTTTTCCCAGAGAATTTCTTTTGTAAATGTTATAGAAGACAAAGAATTAAGAAAATTAAATTATAAAATCGGTCTTTTTCTTGTCATAATAACTTTACACTTAATCACGCATGTCATGATGAGAACTTTGTGATGAACGTCGTGCATAATAAAGGCAATTTTCGTCACACTGTCATTATATTTAAAGTATTTCTATCACATTGATAGATATTAAATACGCGTTATATCAATTAGAAACAAATAATAGCAAGACATTTGTAATTTTTCACAAAATTAAATTGATCAACATTAAACGACGTTAATAAACTTACTTTATGTTTAATTGCTCCACCAGACAGTGGTACAGATATGAAAGAAAGATAAGTCATGCCAGTGCACAGTGCACTGAAAAAGTTTCTATTCGTGAGTATTGTGCAGCGGAGTGAGGGTCAACAAAATCGATTGCATACTTTAGGTTTGATAAAATGTAATTAAGTGAGTACGTAAATAAACGTACGAATTATTTACAAAAAAAAGTTGTGTATAAAATTAATAATGATATTATAAATTATTATTTTAGATATAATTATTATTTTAGATTGTGACTCACATATGTGAGTCACAATCAATACTAGAAATTAAAATGTCTGTAACGGTCGAAACTGGATCTTCATTGCTTAAATAATTCAATCTTGAACTATTATATATACCATATATGTACTTGCATAAAAATTAATAGCAATGTTTGACATATATAAAATTAACATATATATAAAATTAATAACAATGTTTAACAAAAAAGGGAAGAGCCAGATTATTATAATTATTTTTCACAATTTTTTGACGCTTAATACGATTTCTAAATTATTATGTCACGTTTTTATTTGAGAAATTTATATTGATTGCATAAAAACGTCTATTTTCACATTCAAACCTATTTTACGAATACATTTTTTGGATTGAAGAGAATAACACAAAAAAAAATTCGACATCACATTTATTTTGTCGCAAAATATTTTTTCGCATAAACAAGTATATAAGTTATACAAAAAATAGAGAAAAGATTTTGCTTAATGTTTTAATGAAATAATTAAAAAGATAATTGATTTGACTATATATATATTAAAAATTAAACCAAAAATATAAAGTAAATTGTTCTGTACAAGACAAGTTCAAAATATAATAAATTTTGAATAAAAATTTAATTTATTTAATATTTTATCCTACGTAATAGTTGGATTGTCAGTTGACTCACCACATCGAAGAACACGTTTTTTTATTACATCAACAGATACGGTCTTTAAATCGTAAGCCAAACCAATGTAAGCGAAAAAGTCAATAAAAGTTTTGGCCAAATTGAATTTATAATTTCCAATTTCTGCCATTTTATAATCCCAGGGAAAGGCATGATGATAGTTATGCCAGCCTTCACCACACGTTAACAAAGAAACTCCAATATTTTCAGTAGAACTGAGTGATCTGCATAATAAAGTAAAAATATCAACGGAATATCAAATATACTGTAATGTACAATATATAAATAATTTTACTAATTTTATATTAAAGTGCATATAAATGTTTGATAATTAATACGTACTTGTCGTATGGTTTCATACCCCATTTGTGAGCCACAGAATTCACCAACCAAGTAATATTTAGAGTTATGCAATATCTACAGATTGTTAAATGCCATGAATACCATAAATTCTCATTCCATGCCCACCAAGGCACTAACATTGGTATAATAAAAGCACAGAGCGGCATTAAATATCTATACCATCTAAGGAAAAAAATGTGAATATAAAATAATTAAATTACATGTCTAATCACATCTTGTTCTGGTTTCTGGCAGAAATAAACTGTGCCTCTCGTACTTTTTTTGAAACATCACAAGTGGATCTTGCATGAGGTCACTGCAATCGATCGTGGCGCCTTTAATAACGATATCAGGATGCTTGCGAATTAAAAGCCAACCGATATGCGAGAAGAAAAATCCTCTACGCGCATTATATGGATCCGCGTCAGTATCGGTGAACTTATGGTGCACGCGGTGGTCCCTGGCCCATTGGTAAATAGTATCCTAATAAAATACAATATATTACATTGATAATAGATAATATCATCAAGTACAAAATTTTATTAAAAAAAAACAAAATGTAGGATTTTTATCTTTAGTCTATTTAACCTTTACAAGGTTGAATCACTAGTGACCGACCAATTCCTGTTCGTGCAAGTTTCTTTGAGTCTTTCGGTAATTATAAATTATATTACATTTTATTATTTTCCAAAATAAAGTTTCAATATTTATTCTATAAAGTTGAAGTATGTTAGTGAATGTTTAGAGATTTTTTTAACCATTCTGAATAAGTGAAAAAAACTGACAGATTTTAGTGACCTATGTTTGGATGAATGAGGCATCAAATTGTACATGTATTGTAAGTGTTAATTGTGTCATTCTGTGCAACACTTTGGCGAGAGGAGAAAAGTTAAACTTACTTGAAAAGCGATGGTCTGGAAAATCATGAGAATAAGTCTCATGGGCCACTTTGCCTTGTAAGATCGATGAGACCATAATCTATGAGTGCCAGCGGTAACGCCTATCATCGCAGCTGTACCAAGAGCAACAACTATAAATTATAGATATGTTATGATTTGATAAACCCTACGAAGCTTACGTAATCTAGCAAAGAAACAAATAAATGATACGTACACCATAGAATTGACCAATATTTAGCATGCAAGCAAGCCATGTACATTCCATAAATGGCAGCAAGATGAATATAGGTAAAAATAATAACATTTTTCCAAACGATTTCCCATTTATAATCAGTTTTGTATGATTCTTTCATCAATGCTTTATCATTTATTGACTTTCCGGTTATTGCAGAAATTTTAGATAAATTCGATAACATGCTATGTGTTAAATATACGTTATAAATATCTTTGTAAAACATAACTTTAATCATTAATTACGTAACAGTATTATTCTGCAATGTTATATCAGAAAAGATAATGCAATGAAAAAGATAAAATAATTACTGCATATAATATATGATGATAATGAAGTGATAACAAAAGCTTATAACTCTAAGAAATTATAATTTTTTCTTTACCATTTCATTATCATTATATAGATTACAATAATTATTTTATAATACTTCTTTATTACACTATCTTTTAAAGATAATATGCAATCGTATTGTGATATAACTATAAAATGTAGGTAAACATATGTTATGAAAACATTTTTATATTTTATGTCAAAATATGTCAGAATTTTCAAAATCAAAAATATCTTCTATCTATTTAAAAATGCATATTTTTACATCTAATTATTATGAATACTAATGAATACTTTATAATATTGCATAACTCACTTTGCGTACTGCTACTGCTTCAAAATAAAAAATATCGGTTCCTCAAGAGATTGTAATACGTTTTTTTAAGCTAAATTAAAGGATACCTTATTAATAGAAAAAAAACTATTTTATTTATTAATAATATAAGTATCGTTTTACAGGATGCTCAGTAAATTGCAGCAACAATGCATCATTACACATGTATAGCTGAATTAAGATATAAAGAATTAAGATTACGAAATAATAATGCAAAGTAATGTATATCAAGCAGAAATAAAATTACATACCTTTTGATAAGAATTTTGTTATAATTTAATGCCTCTATGATCAAAGATTTTTTGATTGTTTCATTCACATCGAAAAAATATCTATAATTTTTCTGAAACAAAAATAGTTAATACAAAAATAGTTAAATACAATAATTAACAAATTTTATAATAATATGGATATCATATAATTATCTCTTCAAAAATATTAATTACATTTCCATAATCATGGTTACATCATGGTGACGTGCGAATGCCCGCTTTATCATAATGTAATGTCATGGTGTGTGAATGCTTTGTAATATGTGTTATTTTATTATAATAATCTCACAGTGACATTATATATTCTTTCCGACTATTGTGACTCTATTGTGATGTGAATGTGACCCTTTCTCACATAGCCCGTAATATCGCAGTATATTAGAAATATTACATATTACATGAAATATTACATATTATAATATCACAAAGATATTACTGATATATTACTTGTTAATAATCAACATTGAAATATTACAGTAGCATTATGACAATATAAATTTTAACTCAAATAGAGCAATAACATTTATATAAGAAATAAATTTAGAAAGGCTTATTTTTGTTTGAGGTTATTTTAAAAACGTTTTTTAGGAACCGATTAAATAATCATGTTGTATAAATGTTTTAAAATCATTGTTTTTTAAGATAACATATAAATGAAAAGAATAAGTGAGTGATAAAGGATCGCTTGAAGTAAGAAAGTTATCGATACTGACATAGGTCTTCTAAAGCGACACCCTCTTTTATTTCTCAAAAATTAACTATTGCACTTTATTAATAAAATCATAATCTGTTTAGCTAATTAAAAAAGTATAAACTTATAATTCGTATATATGGTTTTCTATCAAATCAACTAAAAATCAATGCGAAAATAAAATTCTTACGATTTTCTTTTGCGTAGTTTAAATAATAGTAAATATTATTGATAACATAACATCGTTTAAAATGTATGTTTGTAATTTCCTAAATCAGTTTTATTTGTATTATTTTTTTCTCTTACTTTTCTCATAATACGATTTTAAATTTAAATTTAAAATCTAATATGATAATGAAAAAACTAATATAGTCACTATTATTAATTTAAATTTAAAAAACCTCCATAACTATCTGTAAAATATCATGAGTTAATTTAATCTTTATAATGTTGCTTTATAATGTCAAATAACTTTATTGGAGCTAAAAGCAATCGTGCGTATATGGAAAAATTCATAAAAAACTATCGCGTTACATATTTGCATCTTGCAGAACAATATAAAGTAAATATGCATATAATTAAATAAAAATGTTTTATGACGAAGTAAAAGATTCGTTATATGTGTTATTTAAATAAACGCATAATTGATCTTTATTTCAGAACCGTCTTCTGTAATATATTAAGAAACTTATGTGGTCCTTTGATTGGTTCGTGATACCTTAAGCACAGTATGCCTTAAATACCTTGGCATATACAAAAACTTAAAACTTAAGGAAATCAACATGTTGAATTTGCTATTGCTTACATTATATATGGTCTTACGCGGTCTCTATTGTGATTGATCAATTACTGCTTAAGTCTTACGTCTTAAGTTTTTTATATGTATATGGCTTTTAGATAGAATTTAATGCCTGGTTTATGCTTTGATTTTAATCCTAAAACCCTAAAATACAGACAATAGAATATAGATTTCAATTAGAACCAATTAAGACTGGCAGTTGAAGTCCTATTGAATTTTAGGATTTTAGGGTTAAGACGAAGAAATAAAGCAAAATTAGGAGACGTTGCAATTGACTTCATACATAAATCGAAAAAAAAATCGAAAAATCGAAAAAAAGTTAAAACTTAGATTTTTTCAACACATAGAGCTGTCATCTGACGTAGATATTTTCTTAATATAAAAGTTTTATAACTTAAATGGACAAAACGACAGTTTAGTACCCAACTTTTTACGTGCACAAACGATACTGAGTTTATGAAATTAAGATTAAAAGCTTAAGATATTTTTCCGGCTACAATCGCGCTACAAAGTTAATCGCGAACAAACCTAGGAATATGCCTCTCCGCGCGTGCTCACTGAAAAGAGAAATTTTTGAGACGAGCAACACACTAGAGTCATTCTAATAAGAATCAAGATATAAATAGTTCTCTTCGTAATTGATGCCGCCAAGTTTTGTCATGTTAGTAAATAAGTGAGAGCAATTTTTATAGATGTAATACTATGTTTTTTCGCTTCAGTCCGAATTAATTATCTCTAGATAATTATACCAGTCTAATTTTTCATTATTGTATATATATATATATATATAACTATATTATTCATAGAATATAATTATATATAATTGTATATAAAATATGTCAATTTTACATATAATTATATATATAATTTTATATAATTTTCTATATTATTGTTTATATTATTATTGTTGTATTATTATTTGTATATTTTATATATAATTATATGTAATTAAATACATATAATTATAGATAAAATATTTTTTCCCGAAAAGTTAACACACTGCATGTTAGGATGTCTCTCCATAATTCGCAAATCGCAAAACGTAGTTTGCTGACACAAATTAGAGATCATCGCAAGATATACACACATGAAAATCAATCGCACACAATGAAAAAAACAAATGCAAATTTTCTGCGAATTCATTTTGCGAATTATGTTTTGTGATTTGTGAATTATGTAAAGTAAGGCACTCCTTTACCGTTTCGCCATTCGGCGTGCACGGAGAATTTCGTCAAATTACAAACTTAAACTGCTCTAATTTAGAAATGACATCGCTCGACTTCTCATTTTTTTTTTATAAGATTCCCAGGATCGAATTAAAGTTTCTGCCGCCCCTAGACAGTTTGCCATCTCCCTTCAACAAATACTAAAAAAATCATACTTCCATTGTATGTTTGCATGCATGTATTTTACATTTTTACAATGTAATTCTACAACTTCTTTTACAATGTAATTCTGCGCTTCTCACACGGCAAACTCATTAATTAAACAATTACGATTATAATCTGTTTCGACAGTAAGCTCTGCTTCAATGCATAATACGGCATTTAAATGCTTGTTGCTCTGAATATTTCTATTTTTCACTCGTCGTAGTACAGAGAAGGACCTTATACCGAAACAATTTGACATCATTATACAAAGCAAAATTCGAAGTGCTATATTTACGTTTGAATACAAAATAAGAAAATTTCGTTTATAAAGCATTTTGTGCAATTCCGACAGTAACATTTCTTTTGTATTTAGCGTGAGCCAAGATGCCGATATTCGATATCTAGCATCAATTTTATATCGTCGGGGTAACTGTGCTGCGGAGATTACAATTGGACTTAGTACGTGTAACTGTGTTAGAAAGCCGAACTTATTATTTAAATTAGTATAATAGATGCTTCGATTTTTCAATCCAGTTAGAAGTAAATCTACAATTACGTAAAATGATACGCATGTTATCGCTATCATTTAATGGATTTTCATCCGTTCATTCGTTGTTGTTTTACTGACAATCATACGATCGACAATTTTTCGTTTTCGACGTCTATTACGATTATATTCTTTTATTTCACATTTCTCAATGACTTCTTTTTCATAAAAATTAAAATTTGTACGCATCTCATCAAGAAATTTCATTAATGGTAATTCGTATAATTCAGTTACACAGATTTGAATCTGCAGATTGTTTTATTTACTGCATTAAAACAATTAAAAATGACCTTCCAGACGGCTAGGAAACAATTTTCTGAGTAATTAAGACTTTGAGAATACTTGATGCTTCAGAACGTTACGGATTTTTCATATTTATCTTCGGAAATAGTATGCAATGCAGATAATATTGTATTCCAGGATAAACACAAACTTTTGCGTGTGAGCATCGTGCCATGCTGATCATTCTGAGAAAGACTTTTTACTATTACCTTCTAATCTAGATGTTAAAATTTTCCATCTGTGAGTTGATTAAAAATGCGCTGAGAAAAAATTA